CCACGTATACACGGTTAATGATTCACCGTTCTGCAGTTTTGCTTCTTTTGAAAATTCTCGATAAAAGCCAAGCATTGACCTAATTCAGGGCTCAGTCTTTCTTAGGCTGAGTCCCTTGGTCTTGCTGTCAAATCTGACTTCTGTCTCTTGATCTTATTCAATCTGCGCCGCCCCTCTCGTGTCCCATTTGCCCTTGCCACGCAGGACGTGACACAAGTCAAGGCAAATATAAGTGAGCCAGAACAGAAAAGCATTTAGAGAAGGGAAGAAAGGTAAGACGTGACAGAGAGGGTTTGCTAGAATCCCCCCTCACCTGGGAAACACAGCAGGTAAGGCCAGTGCAGGGCCCGGCTCAACAGCTGGAGTTCCCATTCCCCTTCATCCCCTGTGGTATGAAATTCCCATTTTACAGATGAGAAAACTAAGGCTCAGGGCAATTAAATCTTCGTTTGTATGTCCCCCCCCCCACTACAAAAAAGTGTTTTCGAGACACAATGAGAGATAAGGCTTCAAAGGAAAATATCTGGGAGCGATAAGACTTAAGTAAATAATTGACATATCTTTAAGCTAATGACAGTAAATACAGGTTATTGTTCTTTTTCTTTTTCTTGAGAGCAGATTTAAATAAATTTTAGCAATACAAAAATCAGTCTCCACTGCAAGGGGGTAAGAGGAGAAAGTTTGAGGACACCAGACAAACTTCCTAGCTGAACTCACTGTTCCGAAGAGGGAGATCATGGTGATTTTTCTAACACAATCGCGGTATTTCTCCTCCAATAGTAATTCTTGCTGCTCTGTCTTCCTAGGGGGAGTGGAAACAGACGAAAGTGTGAGTGGCCCACGGACCCCACCCCCACCCCAGATCAATACAGCAGCCTTTTCCAGGAGAAAAACAACAGGTGCCCTTCCTGGCATTTGTTTTGGGGCCCAGAATTTAAATTCAGTCTTCTTTAGGAACTTGCTTTTATTGTTATTCGCTAAAGGTGATAGTTTTCAGATGGCCTGACCGGACTTATTTGCCTTTGAATTTCTATTAAACATTTTAAGAGTTCAGGCTGATGATGCCACCCGTCTCTGCCAAATCGTGCAGTTTGGGGGAGAGGAGGGAAAAAAGCCAAAGTTGGGCTGACTTTCCAGGGTCGGGCTTTTCCATAAATGTAGGACCTGGGCAGGGAAAATCTGGTGGCAGCTCGGTCACAAAACAGCTCAGGGACCTTGGGAGCAACTCTGAGCCACGATTGTAAACGTGATGGTCTTAGTTCCACCCCAACCGCTGGCTAGGATCAAGCAATGAATTCATCTAATACCTAAATCTTATTAGGAGCAAATGGCTCTATCAGTGTTCGGGAGTGACAGCAGTCATGTTAATAACCCCAGCCTTTTTGGAGATGAGGGAGACGGGACTGAGAGTAACTTGGAGATCGGAAACAGCGGAACACCGGAGAAACCTCCAGGTTTGAGGTGGCGGGAGCAATGAAGCACACAGCTCTACCCGCCTGGCGGCGTGGCCAGTGCACGCTCCCAGCAACCGCGGTTCTTGCTGAGTTTGTAGCCGGCACGTCACAGCTTCCTCGGTCTCTCATTGGGCGAGCCCGTCCAATCACGTGACTCCACCATGCCATATAAATACGGGCAAGGAGACGGCGGTGGTCCGCCATTTCGTGGACGCCGGGTTTGGGAGAGTACTTGTGGGAGCCGGGCGGAGGGGCGCGGAAGACCCGTCGGAGGGTGTGTGGATTTGAGCCTCCGTATTTCTAACCCGAGATTTCGGTAAGAGATCAGCGTCCGAAGGAGCTAAGTGGGAAATGGAACTTAACAGTACCGAGGTGGGGCCAGGCCCAATGGCGGCGCCAGATTGAGACAAAGAGACGCCGCCGCCATTTTGTGACGTTCTGCACGGGGCGGTGGCGGGGGCTCCAGGACCCCAGAGGCCGTACCCCGGCCTTGGAAGTGGAGGTGTTTATAACCCTCCACTGGGGTGAACCGGGGTGTGGGATTACCTGAAAGTTGAGGCAGAGGGGGAGCCGGTAACCGTTTTGTACACCAGGCCGCGGCCTTTCAATTTATGGCGCCTTTTTTGGGGGGCTCCACGTTTTCTTAGGAAGCTTATAGGTTGTTTTTTCTCAAGTCACTAATCAAGACTGTACCTTTCGGTCCATATTAAGTGAATTCTATACTCACTTTTATTTTCATCTCATTTTAATTTGACAACTTTTTACAGCCTGGACCCAATAATTTTTTTAAACCGATCTTCCGTGAGCAGCATTGTTCTTGTAGCTGCTTCCCATTAACCTGTAGGCCTGAAACAGGTCACGGCAAAGCTTTTTTTTTTTTTTTTTTTAAATCAGTTTCCAGTGATTTGGTGTGGGCACAGGGTGGGGTCACGCAGATAGGATGTGTCTGGACTGGTTTTTTAAATTGGATCTGTCCAGAGTGAGAAGAACGTGGTGTTTATGAAAAGCCCTTGAGCTGATATTATTGAGTAGGATGCTGTTTGATGCAATTGAAACTGGCCTACAAGGTGATGACAACAGTTGCCGATGCGATTTTGTGGTGAAGGTTTATCAAATACAAGCCCCCAAAAGTGCGGTAAATTCCTGCATAACAGATACCCAGTTTTTTCCCCTTGAGGTTATATTAACATACAATGTATTTTAAAGTGTATAATTCAGTGACAGTACATTCATAATGTGGAACTATAACATGTTTAGTTCCAAAACATTGTTATTACCCTCTCTTAAGTAAACCTGCATCAATTAAGCAGCCACTCCCCTTTTCCTCAGCCCCTCTCCTGTCAGCCTTGGTAACCACTAATCTGTTTCTGGAATTTACCTGTTTTGGACATTTCATATGCATGGAATCGTAGTATGTGCACTTTTGTGTCTGGCTTATATAACTTAGCATGTTTTCGAGGTTCATCCACGTTTGTAACATTTATCAGTACTTTCCTGAATATTATATGGATAATACATTTGCTTATTTATCCGTGGATGGACATTTGGGTTAATAACTTTTGGCTATTAAGAATAGTGGTGCTATGAAGTAACTTAAAAACACACACACACACCCCAAAACCCTGAACACTGTCTTGCTGCTTGAGGAATGGAGCTGGTTAACTTTTGGTTATAACAGAGGCACATTGGTATGACTTTTCTAGTGGTTTAGCCTTAACTGCTGCCTTCTGCATTGTTTGATTTGGTTTTTGAGCCTCCAGTATTTGTATCTGAGGTTATCCTACTTGTCTAAGTGCTTTAGGTTCAAGATGAAATAACAGGTAAAGCCCTTAACTCAGTGCCCAGATTTTAATAAATGCTCCTCCCGTGTTTATTTTTTCCTCACTTTTTAAAGAGGCATTCTTAAGCAATTTGTGCTAGTTTCCTGACGGTTATCTGTAACGATTAGGGAGAAATGGGAGTTTCAAGGGTGGTAATTTTACTCCTTTTTAAAAAATATTTTGACATTCTTTCCTAAGGATCTGTTTTTTCACTGTAGATTATTTGGGTAAATCAAAATATTTTGAGGGTTTTTTTGTTTTCTTTCTACAGAAATGCATCGTGATTCCTGTCCCTTGGATTGTAAGGTTTATGTAGGTAATCTTGGAAACAACGGTAACAAGACTGAATTGGAACGAGCTTTTGGCTATTATGGACCACTCCGAAGTGTGTGGGTTGCTAGAAACCCTCCCGGCTTTGCATTTGTTGAATTTGAAGATCCCAGAGATGCAGCCGATGCTGTCCGAGAGCTAGATGGGAGGTAATTTAGTGATTGATTTATACTAATGGTGAATATGTTTGTGTTTCTAATATTTAAAATCTCTGGGGATATGTGGTTTTGGATGGCTTCTAGGTTATCAAATTGGTATTACTAGAGATTTACATAAAACTTGGCAATAAAAAATAGGACTGAACAGTTTTAGTGGAGATAACGTAGGAAGTTTATTGGCATTTGAAGAAATGTTTAGTGGTCAATTCTTAATGGATCCAGCTGCACCCAAAACCTGGTTGAAACATTTTAATCTAAATCCCCCATGGTCAATTGTGTTGTCACCTTTGAATTGTTTCTAAAACAACGGTGGAGTCAAATAACCTCTTTAAGAAGGGCCACAAACTGATGATTGTAGCTGCATGATGGTTAACATGGGGGGTGTTATTAAACCATTATCTTTTATGTGTTTGAAATGCTTCCTTTAGGAAGTATGGATTGTATAGCCATTTGCCTGTTATTAGTGTTCTATTAGTTGGCTGATAGGTAATGCCTAAGTCTTAATAGTGAATTCTTCCCCCATGTATTTGGCATTTGCAAACTAGTGGCTTTCATGAAACAAAGAAAAATTGTTAATCCTTAAGACCCCAAAATTAAATGGTCTGAGGGTTGGCTGTAAAGCTCTATGAAAGGTCGTTTATCCAAGCAGATTGCAAAAACATATTTCCAGGCCCCCACCTCTTGCCATTGTCCAAATATGGTGGCTTATCTAAACTTAACTGATTATGGGCCAATGAAGAATGAAGGATAATTGCCTTTTTCTAGCCTCAGCTGCAATTTCTTGGTCAACTGACGGGTGATGATTGAGGGGAAGGGGTGATGTAAAATGGGCAAAATGTTTCTGTCCTGTTTATTGCTCTATTTACATAGACGTGGTGGAAAGAGGGTGAGACCAACAAATACAGTGTAGTAAGATCAGTTAAACAAGTGCTGAGACCTTCAAGGAAGAAGTCACAACAGGATGTACAGATGAACTAGTTCTTTGAGGATGAATCCAGGGTTTTTCACACTAATCACAACTGGTAACATTGAGCCCAGTGATCAGACTGATTCTTAATAGTAAGGAAGTTGGTTTTGTTTAAGAGACAAAAAAATAAGGGAACAAAAACTTGTGTGTTAAGGATTCTACAGGCATTTGGATGTGTTCTTTGCTAAGACATTAGGAGTATTTTTTACTTTAATACACATCTCTTAGAAAGTCTTTGGCTTTAAATTTGGTAGTGTTTCTTCCCTTCTAGAACACTGTGTGGCTGCCGAGTAAGAGTGGAACTGTCGAATGGTGAAAAGAGAAGTCGAAATCGTGGCCCACCTCCCTCTTGGGGTCGTCGCCCTCGAGATGATTATCGGAGGAGGAGTCCTCCACCTCGCCGCAGGTATTTGAGAGAGAGCGTGTTTCGAGGTATTGGTGTAATGGAGTAGCTAATAGGAGCAGGTATTTCTCTTAAAGTTTGTTGGTGGGTTTTAAACTTACTGTGAAGAATCGGAAGTTTTTATGAAACATTTGCTGGGTGTAGTTTGGGGTATGTGAGTTGTGCTGAGTGTTGGCTTTTGTCTTTAGGTTCATGTTGGTAGTCAGTAACTTCTATCTTGGATCTATCTTCTAGTTCATCTTCTAGTTGCATCTTTCCAAGTCTTCCCTTGTACTTCAATTTAGGCCTTTTTCCATTTCTTGACTCCATAATGACAAACATTACATTCAACTTTAGCTCTTCACAAAAATGTGTTTTCTACTATTAGCACGATTGTAATATTTATCAAACAGGCAGCTGTTTTAATGTTACAACTGGTAAAATAGAAATCATTCTGAAACTAAAGTCACTGACCAATAAAGGGGGCTAAAAAGTAATCCCAGTCATCTGTTCTTCAAACCCAAATAGGAGAGAATTCAGTTTTTTTATAATTGAAAATGGCATCATTCTTGGACCAGGCAGTATTTGGATGCTAACTCCACATCTCCAACCTCCAAAATAGTTTCTATAGGACTGAATTTACCTCTTACAGGTGAGTGAAGTCCTAGGAGATAGGAGTTCAAAATCTTGCCCCTTTTGCTATTTTGAAAAACAAAACACACTGTTGCCCATCATAATAAAGAGTATTTGTTAGCTAATAGATGGTTGTACTGATGGCTTGTTTTTCATTTTTTTTTGTGCTTTTTGGTCCATCTATTAATAAAAATGAACCCCGTTACAGAGTCACCATCATGTCTCTTCTCACCACCCTCTGAGTCTGCATTAGCCAGTCAACTAGCCCTTTCAGCGTCATGTGACCAGCGCGCCCCATTCAGCTTGGCTGGTGTCGTTTCACATGACCCAGGCATGGCCAGTCGTCAGGTTGCACCGCCCTTTGGTTCCCGAGCATGCTGTTTTCTCTCAGCCTTCTCTCCAACCTTAACCAAATCGGCAGCAGCCACCTCGACCGCCCACACATTCCTGGCCAATCAGCTCAGCTGTTTATTTACCAAATGTCTTCACAACAACTACAGCAGCAGCCTTCGGCTAACAAAAAAGCAGGAAAAATCCACAACACCCCCTTCGCCAACCAACTAAATCCAACGCAACATCTGGCAAAACCTTTTCAGCAAATTCTTCCTGGCCGTCAGTCCGGCAGCCTCACCACCATTTCTAGCTTGTTGAAACCCAAAACTAGTAAGTTTTTCCTGCTTATACAGTTTACTGCTGGTTAAAATAAGGAGTAAGCGGCTTAAAGTAATTCTTTTTTTCTGGATCAAAGGCTGGCTGTGCATAATTGAATGGTAATGTACATATATATATTGCTTGAATAAAACTTTTAAGGGTGATAGGGAACTCATAATGTAACTAGACCTTCAGGTGAAACTTATTTGCATGTGTGAGATGCCAAACTAAAAATTTTAATAACTAACAGATTTAGCTTTCCTTTCTAGCAAAAATTTGTTCACTCCTATCACCTTTAAATGGTTTTACTAACAGTTTTCAAAATTATAAAATTTTGGGGGTAAAGTGGGCCAAGCCAAGGTAATTTTGATAAGTCTAAACACACTCTTAAATGTGACGATCACAAATGCAGTTCTAATGTAGCACTTAATGGCATCAATATTTACACCTAGCGCGTTTTCACAAAATTACACTATCCACCTGGTACCTAAGTCTTGTCATGGACTTACAGGTTTGCATGGGTTCCAAATACTGGTTTATGGTCCTGTTTTTGGAACTACTTGTGGGACTACATTTTGGTGTGGTGTTTTGGGTAGTGAAGTTAGTTTGACATGAAGTTTTGCATTGGACAGATCTGCTGTGAAGCATTCTTTGTTAAAGTGAATCCATGGTTGGAATACCTGCTTTTCACTTGAGCTTTTGGTTCCTTAATCCTTCTGTGCCTTTTTTTTTCTTTACTTTTTTTAATTTTATTTTTTTGGATGATGGGTGCCAGTTCTTCGGCACATTCACTGGGCCCAACAGTGAGATTCAAAAGTTGGGAAATGCCTCACGCCATAAATACTAATTGACCATTAGCCTAACTTTACTGTTTCTACTTTTAGATCTCCAAGACGGAGAAGCTTCTCCCGTAGTCGGAGCAGGTAAATACTGCCCTTTTTGGCCACGTTCTCAGAAATGGCAGCATTGCTGCTGTTTTCCAAATGATTTGGTTAATGGTAATAAACCCTTGGTTTTAGTAATGACTCAAATGGTATATAGAGCCAGTGTTGTAAGAATGAAACAGTGTTTAGTTTTCAAAGACGTATTAGAAGTATTTGTTGTGTATAATCCTGAATGGCCCTAATTTTCTTTCCTCTCTAACTTTAGGTCCCTTTCTAGAGATAGGAGAAGAGAGAGATCACTGTCTCGGGAGAGAAATCACAAGCCGTCCCGATCTTTCTCTAGGTCTCGTAGGTAAGATCTTCAATGACTTGGGCCATTTTAAGACCTTGCGTACATAATGTACTAGAAACAGAAATAGGTCTTAAGCTATTATGATAGGATTTTTATAACTTTCTATCATAAAAATCTTGATGTTTTTTCACTGTCACCAAATTATAGATGCAACTTGTTTTTCTGTTTGTTTTTGTTTTAGCCGATCTAGGTCAAATGAAAGGAAATAGAAGACCAGTTTGCAAGAGGAGTGGTGTACAGGAAATAACTTCATTTGACAGGAGTATGTACAGAAAATTCAAGTTTTGTTTGAGACTTCATAAGCTTGGTGCATTTTTAAGATGTTTTAGCTGTTCACATTTGTTTGTCTTGGAACAGTGACACACACACACAAAGATGTAATTCTCTATGGTTTGAAATGAATCATATGAGGCATGTAATATCAAGAATTGTTACTTTACAATGTTCCCTTAAGCAGAATGGAATTTGCTTTGAACTTTATTTAGCCTTGCATAGACAGGTAACAAACCTCTTCTGCCCAGCTAAAGTGTGATGTTTAATATTACGGAAACTGGCAAAAATTGAACTTAAGATCTTCCATAGCGGGGATATAATACTACGCAGCTTCAGTGGAACATGCAGTCTTCAAAAGCTGTTATGAGCACAAGCCAGGTAAAAATTAAAGCTGCACCATTAAAACTAGCTTAGAGGTTTAAAAAAAAATCCAACTAGTCTTCACACTGGGCAGGTGTTGTCCAGTTGGTGTAGAATCAGAGAAGTTTCAAGAAAGTTAATTTACCTTTGCTTTAGGTCATAAGTTTCTTCTGTGATTGCAGTATATGAATACATAGCTCTTTGTAACATTTTTCATTTGGAAATTTGAGACTATTTGAGATACCATTGTCATGCCAGTTTAAGGGTACATTGTAGAGCTGAACTTTTGAGTTACTGCAAAATTTTTTTTCATGCTGTCATTTGTAATATGTTTTGTGAGAATCCTTGGGATTAAAGTTTTGGTTACAAATTGTTGTTTAACCTGAAAGCCTGTTTTTCCTTGCAAAACTAAAATCTGAGCTTGGTATCAAGTTCAGCTATAACATTCCTATTGGAAGCCATACTTATATTTTCTTGTAAAGTGCTTTTGAATTAATAAAATAGCATAATTGTGTAATAGTTGAGCCCACTATTACCATAGTTCTTGTCCCTTGGAAAGCAGTTGGTTACACAAATCTTACAAGAAACAAAATAGTCTTTTGAAATGAAGAGACTTATTTGGTTGTCACCTAAGTGATAGATAGTACTTACTGTTTTGTTTTGTTTTGTTTTGTTTTTAGGAGTAGAAGCCAGTTTAAAGTCCATGATACTCAGTGACCAACATTTTAAGGTTTAGCAACCTGGTACATTATAACCCAAAGTTGCCCATAAAAAAAAGGCTTTTGTCATTAGCATGAGAACTTTCCACAAAGCTTTAAAAATTGCTTCCATTTTATATAATTTGAAGTGTTGCATGGGAGTTCTAAATTGATCCATCATGATGTAAAATTTACTATATGGTTTAAATGTAACAGTGCAGAATTGAATATGGAGGCATGCATAACCTTCCTCTTAGAAATCCAGAGGAGTTGTAATTTCAAATTTTTGTGCAATTAGATTAAATCATAATGCAACACTCTTGTGGCTTAGTTTCCTTAAATGTGCTATTTAATGCTAGATTTTTTATTATGTACTGACTTTAATATGAAAGAAGTCATTGTGAGAGTTGAATCGATAAGAGATTTTATAAGATGTAGGTTCTAAAGAGATTATTTCCAGTGGTCCTTAACCTTTCATGCAAATATCAACAAGGGAGGAGAGTCATTGGTGGGGTGTATAAAGGAGAATTCTTATCAGTGAGGTTCAGGTTCAGTGTGAGCCTTGTTCAAGAAGACACTAGGACTACCTGTTAATTACTGGGAGTTTTGGCTTGGGGCCTTGTTGTCTTTTGTCATTTCCTCATAGCCTAAATAAATACTGTTTCTGTTAGAAATGAGGCAAGATAACTAAGAAGTCATAGAAGTGATAATGGTACATCAATAATTACACTGCTTTTATAAATGGACATTTATATGGGCTTTCTTGGCAGTACACAATGGTTCCAGAGTCTTAAATTGGAAGGGTTTTTGTAAAAAGGATAATAGATTATGGGTGTAATGTGGCTAATACAGAAGCTGAGTTTAGTTTGTCAAGTCAGCCTTAGGGCGTTATCCTGACTTTGGGTCCAAATTTGCAATCACTTTAACCAGAAGCCCCAGCACAATTTTATGGCTTGAAAACGTATGGAAGATAGGAATTGTTAAACTCTTATATTTCAATTTTAGATTGTGTCTGTTAAAAGTTCAGAATTACTGTAGTTTTTAAAATTGGAAGTCCCATTAGCCAGTTTGGTCATGCATCCTGAGTTGAACATGATACTGCAAGTTACTAAAACTTTGACTTGTGGTGTAATAACTATCGGTGCCCACTAGAGGTTGCTATTAATAATTTGGTGATAATTTAAAGAAACCTAAGGAGTATAGTTGATTTTTAGGCTTTCAAGAATATTTAACAATCTGGTTCTCAGCTTATTGTGGGTCGGTTACTTCTGAACTCCATGTCTTAAGCAGAAAGGTGAAGAGAAAGATAAATTAGCCAGAGACATTTTAATTTTATGTGAAAATAACCTGTTGATAGACTTTTTGTTTTTTTTAAATATACTTTTTATAGTTCCTTACAAAGATCATGTTATCAGTAGATGGTTTCTCCACCCCTTTAGTTAGCCTCACCCATATCTGGATGGGAAGTCCTCGTTGCTTTTTATTGTGGCGTCATGGTTCATATTAGTATAGTATTTCTTTTAGCTGGAATAGTGTTGATCGTAGAAATTTTTCAAAATATACACAGCCTGACTCTAGGCCCATTGGCTCAGTTTTCCACAGGGGCTTAGCCCTGTGTTATTTGGAAGAGCTCTTCCAGGTGATAACATCCCTGGTTATGTAAGAACTGCTGGTTTAGTATTTTGCCTTAATGTGCTTTTATTTTCAGAACCCTGAATACGATTTAGTTGCCAGGTCTAGTTGGTGATGTCTTCCAGTTGTATATTTTTGCACTGGACTGTTGCCTTCTGGTTTTCCTTTTAAAGATTTTTTATTGGGGAATTGCGGGGAGGGGAACAGAGGAGTTGCTGTCCTTTTGTTCTTCAGTCTAGTTGTGGAGGATGTTGCTTCACTGGCCCAAGTTGGCACCATCATTGCGCTCTTCCCGGGCGAGGCAGGTCAGTTGCCGGCTTCTGGATGGCTGCTCACAGTGGCTGCTGGTCACTCACGCTGGCTGCTGGCTACACACGGTAGCCCATGGCAACCCACTGCAGCAGGGGCTGCTGCCCACACCGGCACCAACCACGGCACCAACCACTCAACTGCAGCCCAGTTCCAGGTCGAGCTGTTCACCATCTTAGCTGTAGAGGGCAGTGTCACTGGTCCTCATGTGGGATCTGAACCGGGGCCCTCTGGCATCCCAAGCCAGCTCTTAACCAACGTGCCACTCGGCCGGCTCCCTGGTTTTCTTTTTTTTTGGGGGCAGTGGGGGGGGGTGGATATGAAAGATTTTTATAATTAAAGTAGCTGAAGAAAAACTGGGTTGCAGTATATTTTTTATCAAAATCTTAGTGTTGAATAAAATTTTATATGTCCACACAAATTCTCTTTATTTTAATTAAAAATTGATTGGATACTTCAAAAGAATTCAAGTGTGTGGCACACTTGAGGTTCTGAGAATAGCTCATTGAAAATTTGTGATAAATCTAGTGTAACTGCTTAATTTTATTCATGCAACTTTTCCCTTATTGCAGAAATATATAATACGTTATTTAGACTCATTTAGTATCCCAGTTCTTTATCTGGAACACATGACAAGTAAAATGTTTCCCTGACAGACATTAATTACATGTGAAGAACATTACTTTTCTCATGAGTTTATCTGCAGTTCTTTCTGACATACATAAAAACATGGTATGATTGTTTTACTAAGGTCTTAGAATCTGGCCATTTAGTACCTTTACTGTGAATTACTACATGTATGTACCTAGTCCTAAAGTGAAAAATCTCTGGAAACATTGATACTTTTGTCATTTGGAGAGGTCCTGAGATGGAGAATATTTAACTTTTATTTCTGGAGCAAAATTAAGCCTTCCAAAACAGTCTGTAGGTGACTTGCTGTTTATAAAGTCCTTTACACTTGTGAATGGACACCTTCGTTTTGGTATAATACATACCTCACTCAGATTTCATTTGGGGCAAGTTAGCATTTGTTGTTTGGTTATTTGCTGACAAGCCCCAAAACTTGAGATCCAAAGGGAAATGTTGCTGAATGCTGTGTTTTACAGGGTGGGGGTGGGCACTATTTGTTGTCACTTGGCAAGGAAATGAAAAAGATCAGATTAAAAAACATTGTAAGTTTTGATAGCTAATAGTTTTTTGAAAGAAAAGTTCCCTTAGGAAACTATGTAAGTTCTTTTAAGCTGAGACAGCTGGTAACTTTGTTTTAACCCATTCCAGCTGGCTCTCTGCCACCAAATTTTTTTTTATTTTTTAAAGATTTTTTTTGGGGGGGGGGGAATTGGGGGGCTGGGAACAGTGCTGGGGAATTGGTGGAAGGGGAACAGACAAGTTGTCCTTTTGTTCTTCAATCTAGTTGAGGACATTGCTTCACTGGCCCAAGTTGGCACCATCATTGTGCTCTTCCCGGGCGAGGCAGATCAGTCGCCGGCTTCTGGACGGCTGCTCACTGCGGCTGCTGGCTGCTCACGCTGGCTGCTGGCTACACACGGTAGCCCATGGCAACCCACTGCAGCAGGGACTGCAGCCCATGCCAGCACCAACCACTCAACGGCAGCCCAGCTCCAGGTCGAGCTGTTGTTCACCATCTTAGCTGTAGAGGGCAGTGTCACTGGCTCTCATATGTGGGATCTGAACCGGGGCCCTCTGGCGTCCCAAGCCAGTTCTTAACCGTCGCGCCACTTGGGCAGCCCCCAAATTTTTCTATAATGAGGAAATTTTAGGTGAAACCAAGAGTGCTTTACAAGTAAATGCAAATTGGAATGTTGGTTTGTCATTTAATCGTTTTTGCTCACGCCTTACTCACATGGCAGTCCATGACACAGGCACTTAGTGGGGAATGGGAGGATACAGTGATAAGGGCACATACAACACCAGCCTAGTATCCAGAAAGGACAGCATAATATTTGTGTTTAGCCTGAGTTCATTTATGTTGAGACCTTGGACTAAATTTTTTCTCATGTTGCGCCTGGTTTTAGATTAGAATAATTTAAGAGGTGTTGGTTGTAGGGCTTTACATGCCCTAAAAGGCTCTTGGACAAGGAGTGAGGTGGCAAATCTTTATTTGAGGGCCCTTTGAAAAGCCCCTTAGCTAACAGGAGAAGAAAACAAGTGAATTGAGTCAGATTTGGGGGGTAGCAAGGGTTGGCTTAAGACAGCTCACAGATCAGGAAAGGCTAGGTAAAGAACCAGGTGAAGAGCAAGTAGTGCCTTAATCATGAAGTAGTTTAGAGGGCAGGAGCAATTGAGTGCAACTGCACTAGGGCCTAGAGATAAAACTGAAGGATCCTAAAACAATTGGAAGTAGTTCCAGTCCGATGCTTCTTGACTTGCAGCCATACTGTACTGCCACATAAGCAGGTGTGGGATAACTTGTCCAGCTTCGGTACTGAAAGGAAGGCCAAGAAGTTGGGAGCATCAGACCTGCTCTCAGGAAATAAATGGCTGGCTCATGTATCCCAGCTGTCAGGTTTAATGGGGACAAGAAATTGACTGAACTTGCAGTCCTCATAGGACTTAAATTGATAATAACATAAGATTGGCTTCCAGAAATGAAGTTGGGAGTTACCCATTTTGTAAGCAGTACGGAATAAATGAGCACACTGAAAATTTGGAGTGGGCTAAGAACTGAATCTTTGAAATTAAGCCTTTTGGGTGCTAGAAACTTCAGCGAACACAGTTGGGGTTATCAGGAGAGGAAGTTTTAAAAAAAATGCCCTGCTCTTGTGATGGCCTCCAGGAAAGAAAGTTTGGGTTTTGAAAATTCCTTTGCCAGACATTGTGTAGCACTTCTTATGTGATGTTTAATCACTTTAGAGGTGTCACTTAAAAGAGGGCAGAAAAAAATTCAACATTATTCATGACTTGTCCTACTAAACAAGTGGTGTATTCCGAACCCAGGCCAGCCTTGACTTCAAAGCCCTTGTTTTCTGTTCACTACATTTTTACTTTTTCAAACCAGTGGTAAAATGCCACATAATTACTATTCAGTGGTTGTCAGGATTTAGGGCACGTTCATTTAGTTGTGAAACAATGTCAATTGTACATACATTGGAAAATAGTGACTTTCAAACTTTTTCTCTAGTGGCAGCTTATTAAGATTTTCATCTTGAAAGTTAGGCATATGTAATAAAGCATTTTTACACTAGAAAACGTGTCCTTGAGCTTTTCCCTTTTTACATATCTGAAGCATGTACACCTGAGGTGTATATACTATATATAAGCCCACAATATGCTATCATCTGGGCAGGTACCACAGTTTAATAAGACATTTCTGGGTAGAAGCCTTCCTAGCTTTGTATTGATGTTAATTGATACTC